GCCGTGTAGAAGGATTTCTGGCTGCCTTTTGGTATTCTAGATATTTTAATATTTTATTTGGCCCAAAATATCTTTTTAAATGGGCCCTTCTCTTTTTTAAAGAGGGCCTTTTTTAATTCCTTTTCAAAAATCTGAAAAAAACATACTTCAAATGAGGCGCATGCCTCATTTTTTTTGCCTCAGATGTAGAGGCGTACGCCTCATTTTTTGTGCCTCACAGATTGAGCCTCGAGGCACAGAAGCTGCGCCTCACAGTGAGGCGAGTCTCAAGGCGGGCCTCAACAGGGTTTTTTCATACCATGGTTCCGGCCATTAGATCAACGACATACTGTCCCCACTGTACCAACATGGGTCTTTTCAACATGCTTCATCCTCACTCGCACGCTCCCCAACAAAAATTCCCACCTTGTTTTCCGAAAGTCCATCGTTAAAAACTCTACACTTAAACATGCTTGGCTTGGAGCAATTCTATGATGGTTAACCCCTGGGAAATTTTCTTGAGGAGCGTGCGAGTGAGGATAAAGCATGCTGAAAAGACCTATGTTGGTACAGTGGGGACATCACGTCGTCGATCTAATGGCCGGGATAGCCTGTTAAGTGGGAACCGAGTCGTTACAAATGGTATCAGAGCCCGGTTGCCAGCTAGAAATCGAGAACTAAGTACTATGCGGGACAAAGTGCTGCGCTATAGAGCAGGAGCAACCTCTAGAATCCCAACGCCTGGCAACGGATCCTCAGATGGATCAAGCGAGACGAGGACGTTGTGAGTTTAACGAGGGGTGATTGTAATACCCAGACCAAGAAAGTTTAAAAAGATTTGATAGGTACTACTCATACCAACAAGGTGCACCTTCTTTTTCGGAAGTCCATCGTTAAAAACTCTATAGTTAAGCGTGCTTAACTTGAAGCAATTCTATAATGGGTGATCCCCTGGGAAGTTTTCTTGGAGAGCGTGCGAGTGAGGATAAAACATGTTCTACATGTTAGTACAGTAGGGACAGTACGTCGTCGATCTAATGGCCGGGACAGCCTGTTAAGTGGGACTCGGGTCGTTACACTTCTAGCTACTACTAATTTTAAAGAAAAAGGATGATATCAAGAAGACTTCATTTTTATACTCATTACTATTTAGACTAACATATTTTGGTGTATAAAGAATAATATATAAATAAAATGCTTGGAATACAGGGGCAGATATTTCCTATATAATATTATATACATTAATATGGGAAAATTTCAAAAAATTAGTAGTAAATGGACATGCAGAAATATTTATTTTGGAACAGCAGACAAGTTGGTTCCGATGTTATCCATGGTACTGAACACTAGAACCTATTAGCATTTCAACATCTTTAGAAATCCTCTTTATGTATATAAATCACGTTGGGAAATATTTAGCTTCCACAGTCACCATACATGACCATGTAATGGCCTTCAATGGCTTTCTCAATTTTGGATCAAGAAAGGGTAAATTACAAATATATTTACATTGAATAAGCTCTGGAAAAGGACACCAATATCTAAAAAATTAGGACGTAATTGAAACTTTATATGGAAAAAGTAGCTAGGTGATATTGTGTAGCTTGGAATGAAATTTCAGTTTGGATTTTGTAAAATATGAGGTATGGCTTTGTAGCTGCTATCACCCCAAAAAAAAAAAAGGAAAAATCACCCACAACAAGCTAAATTGTACATTTTTACTATTATCAGCTAAATTGTACATTCCATTGATGTAGTGCCAGATACTCAACTAAAAATAGCAAAAGTATAAAATGAGGTGGATTTCAAAGCTTCATTATTTTCTGCATCCACCTCCTCAAATACACCTACATCTCAAAGCTGTCTTGTATAT